TAAAACCAATTAACCAACATTCTAATACACAATAAGCACTCCAAAGATGAAGTTTTTAGGATGGACTACTTTGAGCTGTGAGCTGTGTTCTTAGGATGCCTAGTTCCTTGAGCTTGATAGCACAACACAACAAACAAATTCATATAAGTGTAAAACTATAAAATTAATAATTTTTTAATGATTTAATCAAATTAAAATCTCAATTCAACTACTTCAATTAGATTTTCAGGATGGACTAATTCGGGCTGCAGAGCCAACAATCTTAAAGAGACCTAGTTCCTCGAGCCTAGGGGTATTAAAATCTGACTCGACCTAAAACCTGACCCAAAAAATTACGGGTTTAGGTTAACCCATTTACATTACAGGTCAGGCTCAGGTTTGAATTTTTGACCTGTTTGTGAAATCAGGTTGGGTACTGGTTAACCTAAGAACCTGAAATCAGCCTGTTTGACTCAAGAAATTGACCCATCCAGCTTATCGTGTCGCATCATGTCACTTCAGCCTCATGTCAACCCATTATGTCACCTAGAAGCTTCACACCTCCATTGTTATGCCTAGTAGCCCATCGCGTCATATCGCTTCAACCTCGCGTCCCTCCAATGCTTCATGCCTCCATCGCTCCTCGCTCTGCCTCAGCCTTACTAGTCACCATACTGTCCTAGTGGCCTGCTAGGTTTTCTCAATGCCTCAACCACATAAGATCTGCCTCGGCCTTACCATACTCATACTGCTCAGACCACTCAACCGCTTCGCCTTTGCCCTCGTCCTTGCCTCGCAATCCCAAACTATGCTACAGTGCTACTTCAATTCGCCTTTTAGACCTAGGTCAACCATGTAACTTGCATAAGTCAGGTTTGTGTTAACCCATTTAGACCTAGGTCAACTTGGGTTCGACCCGAACCTAACCCACCGAACAGTTTTGACACCCCCCCTACTCGAGCCTGATAGCACAACACCATGAACCGATTGGTAAAAAATCTAAATTAATTAATCCTTTAAATCATTAACTAATTAAATTAATAAAAAGTCATTGATCCATTAAACTTTCACTAATAGAATTCATTTGATTAACCAATCTTTATAATGCATCCTAAAGTAAATCTTAATACATTAATATATTAACTCTAACCAATTTTTTCCTTTTGACCTTTAATAAATCCAAATATTAGACAACTTTAATAAATAATATATTCTAGGACATATCCCAACCACATAATTTTTTCACACAATTTAGATAATTTTTTAGGACAACCAACTCTAGTCTAGGCTAGGCCGATGTTTACTTTTACTACTATGTGTCAAATTTTCCTAGTTTTCATTGCAAGATGTGATTGAAAATTGATTGATGTCAGTGTTTATTTACTTAAACTGTAATCTACGAATTGATTTGATGGGCAATAGTTTACCCTTAGGCTAAGACCATTCTAGTTGCTCACTAAATTTTTTGCAGGTGGTCTCACTTATATAGGTTAATTAAAAGAGGCTAAATTTATGATAAGTATAATTGCTACAAGTGCTCCAACTGCTTAACCCCTAAATAAATTAAAGCTTAGCCATGTATAATTTAATTTTTATTGCATATATTAAACTACTTGGGATGTATTTTATTTTTAAATGCTGAGGATAAACTTTCAAGATAGTCTAATTTTTTTTCTTTTCATTATCAATGTAATTTATTTGAAAGTTAAGAGTTATGAAAATGCCTTTGAATTGGGATACATGTATCCAAAGTTAGATTCCAAAGAGGAAAGGACATCCCTCAGGGGAAGGTCCATTTCTATTTAGAAGCCCAATTTTGAATCATTTCACTACCTTAGGTGAAAAGAATAATTAACCTCTCATTTGGGGGAAGAGTTTTCTTTTTCACTTGGGTAACCATACACAATAAATCTAAGAAGCCAGAAGACGAAAAGGATGAATAGTTGAAGATAGAGAGTATCACATTCAAAGTAACTTTCGTTTGTCATAGAATTAGAATATGAATTTATGGTTAGTAGTGTACGGCCGCATTTAATCTCTGTAATTTCAAGGTTGTAATAAATAGGCAGTTTTCATATGGACATTTATTGGATTGATTTTATTTTATTATGATTAGGTTTGCATGTTTTTCTTAATTTTTTTGGCAATTTGCATACCATTTTTACTTTAGCATAGATTCGATCGGAGGCTCGTGAGGGCACGTATAAAATTTTTCTACTTAACATTAAAATACAATTTATAGGCCAACATAAAAACTCTAATGATCTAAGAAGTAAGCCTGGTACCGCTAGGAGTCTGCATAATCATATTGATTTATTCTCTTCCTTGTTAGGCACCTCCCTGCCTATGGGTTCTAGCAGACCACCTGTCCTTTGAGGATATAGATCTGTTTAGGGATATTATGCAATCTCTAGGAAAAAAAATTTTAAGCCTTTTTCAAAAACTGTTATATATTCATTTTATACATTTTATCGGGTCGATTAGCATGCATTATATTAGAAGCAAATTTAAATGAGTCTATAGTTTTAATTACATTTGTCTCAAACATTCTCAGCCAATATAAGTCAAGGGACCAATTAAGATTTGCTTTAGACGTTTGTCCCAATGCTTTAAAACTTTAATAACAACGTTACTACTACTTCTTTCATAATATAGACCATACTCATGAGTTTTAAATAGACTAGGTGGTTAGCTGGCTCCCTAATCCAGGCCAGGATAAGTCCAAATTTTGCACTGCATTAGTTAGGTTCGGGCTATTATGATCTAGTTCCAAATTTAGACTTAGGATTTGGGATTGATTTTAAATCATAAGTCCCCAACCTCGAGGAATATAATCCCAAATTTATAATAATCTATCCGATTCAAATTAAAATTTCTCTCAATCTAAAATTTAAAGCTCAACACTTAGATTTGGTTAAGATACTTTTGAATTGTTTCAAAATCTCAAAGTATCTCCTTACCCCTCTTCCGATGACTCTAGAAATAAGTGTTCAAAATTTAATTCAATTCCCATTGAAACTGTAAATTCACGTCTGCGAATATCACTCCTTGAAAATCTCTGAATCGAATTTTCACCATTATTTTAATCATGAATATTCATAGGGAATTCAACCTCTCTATGATGTAATTAACTACAAAGGTTTGCGCTCATAATAGATTTAGAACCCACATCAACCTCTTTCAAAAATCAATTTTCAAAACTCAATTGATTTTCTTTGGGAAAATTAAAATCACTGACGATCATTATTGTCCTATTTGAACAATCATTAATGAATGATAAAAATGATAACTCATCTAGATTATCGTAGCTACAAACTTCACTTTAACCCTCCGGGGCCATATGCAGTTCTTTCATAAATTTGGCTATGAAATTTTAGATAAAATTTGTAATTCTAAATCTGAACCATGTTTTAAAATCTTATTTCTACCTCTCGAGGTAGTCCTTTCTAACAGGTTGTTCAATTTTTGAATTAAAATTCAAAGTCATTTTCAAATTCCCCAAAGAAGATTGGACTTTTTAAAAACTCCTTTCAACAACTAACACAAACTACGATCTCTCTGACCACCGTCTCTATACTATGGTATCCCTAATTATCGTTGTGTAACTACCATTAGCTACAATCTTTCTAACTCTGTCGCCTGCAAACTATGATCTTTCTGACTAACATCACTGACTACGGTCCTTCCGACCTCTATCGCCCATTGACTATGGTCCTTCTGACCACCTGTCTGGCTAAACTCTTTCTGACCTCTGCCACCTAACAATAATCCTTCTATCCATCGTCACTTGACTACAATCTTTTCGACCTCCATCATGTGTTGATCACTATGGTCCAATCTGACCACCACCACCAGACTACAGTCATTCGGATCACCATCGTCGACTACGGTCCTTCCAACCACCATCTACATACTTCGGTCCTTTCGACCATCATCGCCAGACTACATCGTTGCAATCTCCGTCACCTATCGATTAATGCCTCTTTGACCACCATCTCGACTATGATTTTTTCAACCTCCATCGTCGTCGTTGATTACAATTCTTATAATCATCGTCACTTGACTACGGTCTTTTTGAACTTCATCGCTTGTCGATTACGATCCTTCCGACCACCGTCACCCTATTACGCTTGTTCTGACCTCCGTCGCTCGAATATGGTCCTTCCGACCACAATCGCCCAGTACAATTCTTTGAAACTACATCGCTCACTTACTTTGGTCCTCCCAACCAAACAAACATGCCAGTACTAATTCTTCCAATTCCTATCATGTAATGCACTCTATATAATGTATATTGGTTGCATCAAGTCAAGGCTTTCCCCCTAAAAAGGTGCCTTATTTGTAATCAACTGCAAACACTAATGGATTCATTTAAACTGTGCATGACCCCATAGTTTTTCTCCATTTTTGGGATTTCCATGTAAAAAATTAGTGTCTTTTATGAATGCTTCACCCCTATATTTCATATATGTTTGTGTGCTTGATTTTCGCATAAAACTATGATAATTTTTTTTTTTTTCAGCACGCAATAAATCTATATAAAAGAATTATCAACAACAAATAACAAAGACGAAACAAATAACAAACACAGCTCACCTTATGTATGCATTGTGTGTGTGAGTTTGCCTTAAATGGCCTAAATGTCTCAAAAAAAAAAAAACAAATAACAAAGATGAAGTGGAAGAAATTTAAAGATAACTTTATCTAATATCATCGGAAAACAACAGAAGTTTTCCTCCTACTTCAGCTGAATGATAGCTTTGTCGTCTACTCTTCTCATTCATATCCGCCGCCAAAAACTCTATCCATCCACATCCCAAGACTACGGCCAGCTGTTTCGTGACGTCAACATCTCTTCCCAAGGCTTAATGGATAAAGATCCAAGCGTCAACCTATCTATCCAACATCGGTTCAAACCTTCTAGACTGACCTGGTCAGTGATAATAGCTAAACTCTCGCCTTCACTCCCCTACACTGCAGATTACTAATCAGAAACCAAATAACTTCTTGTTGCTCCCATAATGGTGATGACAACCTCGAAGTTGGCGGGTTACTACGACGCGCCGGAGGGTGTGGACGTCCGCGGGCGCTACGATGAAGAATTCGCAAAGATCCTGACGCGGGATGCCCTGGAGTTCGTTGCCGGGCTTCAGAGACAGTTTAGGAGGCAGATCCGGCACGCGATGGAGAGCCGGCGAGAGGCGCAGCGGCGGTACGATGCCGGGGGGCTGCCTGGGTTCGACCCCGCCACCCGGTTCATCAGGGAGAGCGACTGGGTGTGTGCGCCGGTGCCGCCACCCATCGCCAACCGGATGGTAGAGATCACCGGACCTGTCGAGCGCAAGATGGTCATCAACGCGCTTAACTCCGGCGCTAAGGTTTTCATGGTATGTTGCATACCGTGATTGTACGTATAACTATTTGTGGCGTGCAGTAAACTAGCAGCTCTTATTTTTTGTTGAAGATTTTTCATACTAATGCTTTTATTATCAAAGGACTTCATAATATTACATGGTAATAATTATTCAGAGAATAAAATATTGACCATATGGATAAATTTATACAGTCTTGTAAAATTCCAAGGCATGTCGATAAAGACATTTAAGAGTATGCATTCTTTAAATAATTTCAAGTTGGGATATATGTGTAGGTGCGAGAGAATCGCGCGGTTCAGCGAGCTCAACTCATTATTTACGATTCGATCCTTTTTTTCTTTAATTGAGCTAAGCCTGCTTATAAACTGACTCAATTCAATATCGATTTAGTTAAATATTAGTCATTAAATTTGATCAAGTGCAAATTAAATTTTTTTACGCCTGCACATATATAATTAAGAAATTAATTAAATCTATTAAGCAATGGTAGCTTAATTTGATGATGGATATGCTTATTACCCATGAAAAAGGCCTTAATTTCAATAGGCAGTTCGAGAAGCAGTAATCAGCACGTTATATATATGTGACTTACATTGACGGAACCTTGTTACTGTTAAATGAATTTCGTTCTTGTTCTATGGTAGGCTGATTTCGAGGACGCATTATCGCCAAACTGGGAGAACCTCATGAAGGGGCAGGTGAACCTCAGGGATGCCGTCAACGGAACCATAAGCTTTGAGGATAGGGAGAGGAAGAGGGTTTATAAGCTCAACGAGACGACGGCCAAGCTCTTCGTCCGGCCAAGAGGCTGGCACCTCAAGGAGGGTCACATTCTCATTGACGGCGAGCCCGCCGTCGGCTGCCTCGTCGATTTCGGGCTCTTCTTCTTCCACAACTGCGCCGCTTACCGGGCTAACCAGGGCCAGGGATTTGGTCCCTTCTTCTATCTCCCAAAAATGGAACACTCCAGGTAAGCAATTGGAGGATTTACATACATACCATCGCAATATAAGAAAATTATTAGATAAATATAATTAAATTACTCAAGAATCACAGTATTTGTACTATTATTATTATTATTCTTATTAAAATCTGATAACATTGAGTGAATTATTTATAATATTCAATAATATAATTGTATTATCAAATAATTCAATTATTCCAATAGATAACACATGGCTCATGACTCATGAACTATGATTATGTTAATAAAAATAATTCCCCTCCTACTAATAAAAATTAGATGATATATACACATATCAATTATTTTGAACATTTTTACGTATTAATGGAGAGCATTTTATAGGATTTTATCTTAGAAATCCCCTAAGTTTAGTGATAAATCTTTTGAAATTTATTTTATAAAATATTAAGGTAAATATAAATTAAAATTTTTTAAAAAAAACTCTTATACTTATTTTATAACACTTATAGGATGTATGCTTCTAATTAATCCTTAATATCTAATTCTCTTATAAATCTTATTTTACGTGTTATTATCAATCTTATTTATTTAATATCGTCAGTCCGAGTCATTCTATAAAGATCATCATAATTTATACTGAAATTGTTATAATTGTTTACATTTTCTAAGACGCTAAACAATATTTGGTTTTCTTAGAAAACCTAAGAAAACACAAAATGGTATTTGGTTTTCTGTAAAACATAGTAATTAGTAAAATATTTTATATTTTTATATTGTATGTTTTTTTACCAATGATATCCTTCTTGTTGATCAGAGTAGAGAGGGAGTTGAGCAATTTTAATTACTTTGGTGAACTTAAAGAGCCTAAAAGGTTTCATTTGACTTTATTTAAAACTATTGCATAACTAATTTAATTATGCTTAAAAATAGAAATAATTAATATTTTAGAATATATATATATATATATATATATATATATGCGTGTGTGCGTGTGCGCGCGCGCGTGTTGAATTTTTTTTAAGTTTTATAATGTTTATTAGCTGAAAGAGGCTTAAAAAATAGTATGCATACATATAATTTGATGGTTTGTTGTTTTTAAGAAAATGAGCATAATGAATAATTAATTAAAAAGGAGGAGCTTAGCCATAAAGTATTTAGCAAAAGAAGGGAGAATTAGTTGCTTAATGAAGTCTTAAATAAAATAGATTGTGCTGAAATACAAAGCATTACTTAGTCCCTATAATATCACATTAAACTCTACCTAGCATATGAATTTCTCAGGTACTTCTGAGCACACAAGTAAGATTGTCACTCGAAATTTATGTCATATCAATTATACTGACATACAAAGATAAGCTTTCAATTGGCTAGTCAAACTTTTCAGATGAGTTAATTAAACATCATTTTCATAAATATAGAATTGAATTACATCTATCAATTCTCTATTGAGTTAAGTTTCTCCATAAAAGTTTAATCTTAATGATATAAATGGTTCTATATAAGCTTCGTAGTGTTGTTAATACCCACACAACATAAGTGCTTCTAAACCATCTCATATGTATTCCTATCCTAGCCTCATATTAGAATTTTCCTTGCACGTCAACTATGTCGAATCATTGTCCTGAACAAGAGAAGGCAAGAATCATAGTAGGAAGTATATGATTGAGCAAATATATTTTTAGTAGCCTAAATTCTCTGCTAGAGATGAAGGTTATGATAAATGAGATTTTTTGTTCTACACCCATAATTGAGACATAGCTCTAGATGAACCGCTTTGGAGGCCACATTCGAAGGCCATGGTCACACATAATGACAACGGTGGAGAGTTTTGTATAGGAGTTGGATGGAAACAGGTAGGGGTGTCAATTCGGGTCAGCGGGTCGGGTTCGGGTCAAACCCGGAACTGACCCGGCACTGTTCGGGTCAACCCGAACCCGACCCATTTTTAAAAACGGGTCAGGTTTTCGGAACTGAACCCGACCCGATTCAGGTCCGGGTCAACCCGACCCGGCACGAATGACCCGAAGTTGACCTAAAATTGCTAATTTTCGGGTCAAAATCGGGTCAATATTCGATTTTCGGGTCAAAATCGGGTCAAAAACGGGTCAATCTCGATTTTTGGGTCAAATATTAGTTTTTTGTGTCACTTTCGGGTCAATTTCGGGTTGCTGGGTCAACCCAAACCCGACCCGATTTTTAAAACGGGTTGATTTGTTCAACCCGAACCCGACCCGTTTCGGGTTCGGGTTGACCCGAACCCAGATTTTTTCGGGTCGGGTTCAGGTCGGGTTTCGGGTCGTGACAAAAATTGACACCCCTAGAAATAGGTGAAGAATAAATGTTTAAGAAGACGGACATCTTGTGAGGCTTCATTTTCTCCAAATGAGGTACTATAGACTTGTTAGTGAAAGTTTAAAACTTTGAACATAAAGTTATACAAAGTGTTCATTTCTAGCAACTAGGATAAGTAGGATTTTTTCATTTTGCATAAGTGTGAAAAATTATTCGGGTATAAGAAAGTTGAGATAGACTCGCAAGCACTATAGTGACAGTTTGAATACTGCAATAATGTTGTCAGATGCAAAGTTAGTTACAAGTGTGCATTAATTTCTTGCTTAACCAACAAGCAGACAGTGGAAATTGGTTTAAAATGTACAGTAAACCCGAACAAGTTGTTTTTTTATAGTGTAATAATGTGTGTTTTGCATCTCTTGTGTTTTCAAGAATTATATCTTAATTCTTGAATAGTTTACGGCTTGACTGTCCATAATAATAAGATAATTATGTGTGTTCTTTTTCTTTCTTAAAAACAAATTAATAAATATTACCATATTATTCATGGTATATAAAGCATAGGTTGAAAACATCCTTTTAAAAAATATAAATATTATAAATTTAACAAATATTTAAGTTTCAAAGAGTCACATTATTAGTTTTTTTTTAATGAAACTTCAAATTCCTCCATGGGATGACATCTGTGCTAGGGGTATATCAAGTAAGTCCGTGCCTAAGTCTCCTATATAGTTGATCTTCTTCATGCACCTCTTTTTCCTCTTCATGTGCAGCAACTACGTCTGGTTGAGAATGTTGGAAAAGTAAGTTCTGCGAGTTGGATATGCTAGTAAACTAAAGGGGGCCATCTAAGTGGGAATACTCATTTCGTACGAAGGACATGCAATCTCTAAAGATTCGCATGTGGTGTAAGTGTTATCCTAATGTTGATCAAAATATTTCATCCCCTACACCTACTCCACCTAACGGGCCTTCTCCCAACATTATTGTCGGCCCTCCTCCTGTATTTGTATATGACTTAACATAATCAGTTGATCTTGCATACATGGACTACCGTAGAAGATTAGTCCCTGATATAAGGGTTCAATAATGTTCTGATGTTTGCAAGGTTGGAGTATTAGCCCGTAGATCTCCTAGGACCCTAATGTCTCTGATCACATCTTTGGTGATCTTGTGAATGCAACTTAGTTTGAATAGTGGCATAAGGAGCATTATAATCAATAAATATTGATTGCTCCACTCGTCTAGATAACCATGTTATCTCATCATAACCTTGCTTCATTGAGCTTGCATGCTCGTTGTGACTCCTAATAGATGCCTCGACAATTTCTTTAGTGCATAGGAAATAATCAATGCATGTGATACATAATTAGCAATGATTTCCATTAAAAATTAAATGTAAATTCTGATTTAAGCTATAAATATTCATATGCTTGGGTTGAATGACCAGAAGATGCCTTTGAAATTAACGATGTAGCTAAACTAGAGTGTTGTAAATAGATCCAGGAGTAGTAAATCATAATGCTTCCGTCTATACAGTGAGGTGGACTCCTCAAAACTCCCAAAAATTGAATGAATAGTTTTTCTCCGTTCATCCCATGCCTTCATGTATGAGACCTTGATTTTAAACTCGCCCTTAATACATGCAATTATCTCTCTCGGTTTGAAATCTAGCTATTTTTGAAGTACAACACTTCTGTAGTAGCATATAAAATTCGATGTGCAGTTATGATGAGCGACAAACATCTCCAGATGTGTGCATATATGATAACCAAATATCAATGAAATCTTTCGTACTCCACCAAGACACTTATTCTTGGAAGAAGGAAGGCATCATAGACATGGTCATGTTCTGGGGTCATAATGAGTGCATGTGATAGTTAGTCATTGCTTGTTAGAGCATGTCTTTTTTATACTCCATGTTTATTACTAATCAACAATTAAAGCACATTAAAGTGCTTCCTGTCTACCGAATGTCATTCCCTCATACAAATGATCAATAATGATGACCTCCAACTTCTCCTTGTGACACCCAATTGGACCATCAATAGAATCAGAAGCGTCCTACTCCTTATTTGTGCGTATAAATTATACAAACTCATTATTTGCGAGCATGACATCTAAATTTTCAGCATTCTACACTATATTGTTTTGAAGAATTTCATGCCCGGTCAGGGAATGTGACGACCACATATTCGATGTAATTATGATAGTCAAGTGCATTCGGATCCTCGCACGAGCTTTCACTAGTCCCGTTGTTTATGGTCTCATAAGTGGGCAGGACTGGTTCAAGCTTTTCACGAAGCACACGTGCTTCAGAAGCAAACCTGATATCCACTACCGTAAGGCATAAATGAGTGTGATCCTTGAATGTAGTATTGGAAGCTAAAGTACATAGTTGGTCGCTCGCATATGCTTAAGATGCATTGTTGGTGGATTGATCATCATTTATTTAATTATTTAAATAGGATATCATTTTAACCGGCCGGTTCTTAAAAATCGGAACTGATTCAATGATTGGCCGATTGAACTAGCGATTTAAACCGGTTTACCCCAGTTTGATGTTGAGCCAATTTTTAAGGCGAATCGAACTGGCCATATTACCAATTCATGATTTAACTGGTCAAACCAGCTGATCCGGTCCAATATTCAAAACAGGTCTAATTAAGATACAAATATTCTATTTTAAAAAAAAACAATTACTTTTACAGCAAAAGCGTTTTTTTAACTTTTGCATTTTGCAAAGTGAATTCCATTGCATTATGTCATCCATCTATTTCATTGTTAATATTATAGCTAGCTTGGTCGGACATCTATAAGTGTTTTTGCGCATATTGTAAAGCTTCATAGAAATAAATGTGCCGTTTTAAATTTATAATATTACTTACTAATATACCATAATTATTTTTTTAAAATTAATATTTAATCTTATTATTATTAAATTATGTAATAAGAGATATTACTATGGTACTCAGTTTTCTTTCTGAATTCTATCTAATTTCTCTCAGACTTAGCTGCACTCTTCGGTCGAGATCTGGTTAATTTTATAGCACCCAAAGGAATAAAAAATGACGAACTAGTTGCGTGATTAGCGCGACCGGCCGGCAAAGTTGGTGGTTATGAGGAGTGCAGAAATGAAAAGCGGGGGAATTAATCGAAGAAAATGCAAACCTAAATTCAGTTTTCTCATAAAATTCAAAACGGATTTCCGTTTTCTATAGAAAACGCAATGATGTTTTCAATTTTCTGAAAAAATCGAATTTAGCTTTGAGTTTTCTTGTTTTCTCCCTTAGGCCTAAAATCCGGATCCTGTTTTACGTTTTGTATCGTTTTAATTTGTGATAATCTACATTTCTTATACTTAATTAAGCGTGAACGTGATCTTTTCAAAAATTCCGCCTAATATAAACTTATTGTAGTAATTTTTTAAACTTTAACTTAGCTTATAGAATAAAATTTGACTGTGAATTGATGAAAAGCTAACCACGCCCGTCACCATTTCCGGGCTTGCAGGGAAGCCAGAATCTGGAATAACGTCTTCAACCGAGCAGAAGAATCCGCTTCCATCCCAGCCGGCAGCATCCGCGCGACCGTCCTTATCGAAACCCTCCCCGCCGCCTTCCAGATGAACGAGATCCTCTATGAGCTCCGCTCTCACTCCGCTGGCCTCAATTGCGGTCGCTGGGATTACATCTTCAGCTATGTCAAAACCCTCCGCGCCCATCCCGACCGTCTCCTTCCCGACCGCGTCTCGGTTGGCATGTGGCAGTCGATGATGCGCTCCTATTCTCATCTCCTCATCTTTACATGCCACCGCCGTGGCGTCCACGCTTTGGGTGGCATGGCCGCGCAGATACCCATCCGCGGTGATCCCGCCGCGCACGCCAAGGCGATCGAGGCCGTGCGGAGCGACAAGTTGCGCGAGGTGCGGGCGGGGCACGATGGGACGTGGGCGGCGCATCCAGGGCTGATTGGGGAGATTGGGACGGTGTTTGAGGAGGGTTTGGCGGGGAGGGAGAATTTGATTGGGGTGATGAGGAGGGAGGACGCGGCGGGGATTGGTGAGGAGGATCTGCTTGAGAGGCCGCGGGGGAGAAGGACGATTGAGGGGTTGAGGCTGAACACGAGGGTGGGGATACAGTACATGGCGGCGTGGCTCACCGGGACGGGGTCCGTCCCGCTCTATAACCTCATGGAAGATGCAGCGACCGCTGAAATCAGCCGCGTGCAGAACTGGCAGTGGATCAGGTTTTCCTCACCGTTTTAATCAATTCATTCATTACAAATCTAAGTAAAAAAAAATCCCTTCTTACTATACTTTAGTGCAATAAAATAAAAAAGGAAGAATATATAGCAAAAGATAAAAGTTGTAATAGAATTGATTAAAAGCACATTTTAATTAAAGAAATAAGATAATCCGTCAAGATAGATGAAAAAACAAAATTTTGTTCGGTTATTTTTTCTTATAAATATATATTATTATCTTCTTTTAATGTGAAGCATATATTATTCATTCACTCAATTCCGATAAAAAATAATTAAGTCTAACCAATAATATCAATTTTATTAATCTAACTAAATAGCGATGAAAAACGTCTGTTACGAATAGCGCATAATCAACGGAATTTTTTTTAACATAATAAAAAATTGAAGACAATTAAAATTAAAAAAAACAACAACAAAAAAACATATGTAAGACGATAACAAATAATTTATTCTATTATTTTTTTATTAAATAATTTGTTATCTTTTTTATTGCGGAATAAGTAAATCATATTTCCGATGCCAAAATCACGTGGTCCTGTAACTTTTTTTAAGGAAAATAGTTTCCGAAAGATATTTAATAAGTTTTTAGGTTGTTTTTAAGGTTTACTTTCTAAAAACATGATATTTTTACAGGTATAAAGCTTTGCTGGACGCCGAGAGAGTGGAGCTGGCACTGACGCCGGAGCTGTTTGCAAGAGTGGTTGAGGAGGAGATGGGAAGAATTGAGAGGGAGGTTGGGATGGAGAAGTTCCGGCGTGGGATGTTTAAAGAAGCCTGTTCTATTTTCGTACGACAGTGCATGGCTGCCGAGCTTGACGATTTCCTGACACTGGATGCATATAACCAGATTGTCATCCACCATTCTAGGGAAGGATCCAGCCTCTGATTATCTGAAGCAGAATAATGCATTGGTCTTTATCTTTTTAGGCTTGTCTTGGAATAAGGCCGATCTATAGGCTACAGTTCTTCATTTCTAATGTTCTAAAGAGTCTTACGGGGGTATTTGTATGAAATAAAAGGTTGCGGAACTTCATCTCCAAAACAGTTTAACTGTTGAACTTGAAATGTAATGTGTAATAGGCTTTCAATTAAGTGTAGTAATGCAACAATAAAATGGTAGAAACCACTAAATTAAAAGGCTTTGTTTAGTAAAGCCTTTTTACATCCAAGTTTTGGGGAACTAGCAGTTGAAGTATAATATTATATCACGATAGACCCGCAGCTTTCTTGATGTGGTATGCGATTGTAGCGGTGATGAACCCCAGAGTCGCACCAGCGAATACCTGAGAGTAAATGACGTTACCATGCTTTGGTTTGTGGTTTAAAGTGAAAAAAAAAGTTAAAATAAAGCGCCATATAAAATTGAGAGATAAAATGATAAAAAACAACATAATATTTAAGCTTATATATATATGGGGCGGATGTTGGATGTCAATCTACTTAAATGAGGCAAAGGTTTAATTTTTCTTGTTCAGCCAAGTCGGAAGTGTAATTAGTGAAATATATCAAGAATTCAAGATTGTATCATACTGGAAGCTTCACGCAATAATATCTTGAAAATAACCTGAGCAGGGGTATGGCCAAGAAGTTCACTAAGTGGCCTTGTCTCAGCTAAAGGGTGCTCTGCTGGAAGTTCAAAAACAATCTGATTCAATACCTAAAAAAAAAAGGATGAAATGATGAAATACGTGATAACCTAATTTAACTCGGGGCTATTGTAAATACATAAAAAAGAGCTTAAACTACTAAATTTTGTTTAGTTTGAATTGTTAAAATTTATATTTCCTGTAGATTAAGGCACAATTTTCTCACTGTTTCTTAAAGCAGCTTTTTAGAAAAAAATTTTTAGTTTTTCTATTAAAATGTTGCTTTAAAAGCAGTAAGAAAGCCGTCCCAAACTAAACCTAAATGTCATCAATCCACCATAACCATATGCAAAACAATCTGGACATGTGTTTGAGATGGATTGTGATGTGAACATGTATGAAAACAATAATTGCTTTGTGAAATTAATAAAAATTTGAACAACTTTGCCAATTGTAAACATTATGTTTCACCAAATTAGATTCATGAATTTTCAATTAGAAATCATGTAATAGCTTACAGTTACAAACGAGATTAAAATGATCTTGTAAATAACAACAAAATAAATAAGTAAAACTAACGGCAATGAATAACAAAAATACAGAGCTTAACAATTAGAAATGTTCACTCTGAGTTCCCTCACTCTCGCTCCTGAAAATGTTGTTTAGCAGAGAAAGATTAAAAGTAACCCTAGTGATGCCACCATGGGACAAATGACGCTTAAGGTATTGTTCATCAGATAAGTAGCCGGAGGAGGAGAAGTTGATGGTCGACCAATGATTTGCCACTGTCCAGTTGGTCGTTGCCCGTCGATCTTCTCGGCGAGATGATATAGCATGCAATTTACGTAGCTTTTAACTAAATCTTCAAATTCCCAGTCTGGATCAAAGAAGGGCGACTGAAGGAATTCGATTTATCCTTGGGAGTTGTATGCAAACCCATGGTCAACATCAAGATCGGCCATTCATGGAGGCGACGTCGGCTTGTTAAACTTGACCTTCGATAGAATTTTTGTTGGACGAGAAGAAGTTATGAGAGTGAGAGTTAAGGGGAGGATTCCGGCTAGGTGAGGGTAGGTTTCAAGGCAATTGGGAGAGGGAAGAGGAAAGGATAGTTTAGGAAAATTTAAAATTAATTTCAGATTTTCTAGTGTAAGGAAAGAAGAGATTTTGAAATTCAAAATCACTCCAAATAGGCAAGGGGAGGAGAGGCGGCGGTTAGAGGGGATTGTGAAGATTTAATTTGGGCTTGGGATTTAAGTGGGGAGAGAGGCGGCATGGGTAAGAGGGGGGGCGGCGGTATTTAGAGAGAGGGAGAGGATTTTGGGAGAAATTAAAAAACTTCCAAAACAAGCTATTTAATTTAGGAAATGAGACATTAAATCAAATCTAATTTAAATTTAAATTAGACCTAAATTTAAAAAGTTTCCTAAATTAGAACTTGTAAATACGGAAAGTATTTGAAATTCAAAAGTTAATTGAATTCAAATAAGGACTCTTTCCTAATTGCCATTGGGATATTTTAGGAAAGCAATTAAGAGCCAATTGAATTTGAAAATCCCACTTAATGATGGGGTAGTCGGTGACTAGGGGGCTTATGGGGAATTCGGTGGAGGGGAAGGGTGGAAGTCGGCGGTGGGGCTGGTAGGGGAAGTTGTCGGCGGCTTGGAGAGCGGGTGGTGAGCCGACGGGATGGAGGTGGCAAGAGGGAGGCTAGGGAGGAGATGCTTGGCCGACGGATGGGCTGCTGGAGGGGAATTGGTTGGGCCAGTGATGACGAAGGAAGAAGAAGAAAAGAACCGAAAAACCAAGAGCTCACCCGAAGGGGCTGTTGGGTACTTCGCTTGAGCCTCTCCTAGGCTTCACATCTCCTCTCAAGAGCTCCCAAAAAAGAACTCAAAATCTGAAAATTTTATTAATTCATCATTAACCTCATACAAAGCAAAAGACCTCTATATATATACCTCAATAATAAAGACAAGAAAAAAGACTCAAATGCCCTCGGGGCTATAATAAGAACTCACTACCCATGTGCGTAAAGTAGGAAAAAAACTGAAATGCAAAATAAATAAAATATAAAATATAAAATATATCAAAAGTAAAGGCTCCGAATCGTAGCCGTTGATCTACGATTCCGTCGATGGTACACATGTCGAAATCTCTAACTGATGTCCTTATCATTCTTCCCAGGTGGGAGGAAGCTCGACCCCATCGAGTAAGCATCTCTAAAATTCTCGTACCACTCTAGCAGATCGGGGTCCAATCTTTATAGCTCATCACGGTCGATCCACTTGTTCTCAGTCTCTGGTTTCCCAGTCCATTGAATTACCTACCTTTGGCGTCCGTCTTTAGCGGAAATAATATCATCACTAAGTATTGCCTTAATCTTCTCCGCATTGGGTAAAATATGGATTTTGGGAGTGGAGATAGGTCGGGCTTCTCACCAGGTAGGTTCACACGAGGCTCATTATTTTGTGGATTAGAGGGGTTAAACTCTGGACCCTCAAAGTCTATAAGATCTTCGATGTTAAATATATGATTAATGTTAAAACCGTCAGGAAGGACTAGCATATAAGCATTACTATTTATTTTTTATGTTATTTTGAAAGGTCATGCGCTTCTCGCTTGTAACTTTTTAACGGTCCCTTGTGGGAACCTCTCTGGACGAATTTGAACCATTACAAGGTCTCCAACTTCAAATTCTTTGAATTGTCTCTTGAGATCCGCATTAAGTTTATAGTTAACATTGCTTTGTTCTATCTTTTTGTAAATTTTCTTATGCAATTATAGTAGATGTGATGCAAATGCAGATGCAGACTCAGATGTACTTTACTTAGGACCTATGAGGATTAAGTTTATAGGATGTCTAGGTTGGTACCTGAATACAATTTCAACTGGACTCAGACTCGTGGTTCAATTCACAGTTGTTATAAGCGAACTGAACTGTAGGTAACTTGGAATCCCAATCTCTAATGTGTTCACCTACCAAGGTCTTAGGAGGTTGCCGAAGCTCCTATTCATGACTTCTGTTTGCCCATTGTTTGTGGGTTAAAGGTAGTGAAAAATTGGAGTTTGGTACTCGTTTTGTGCCATAAAGACTTCCAAAAATAACTAGTGAACTTAACATCTATATCTGACACTATGGTTTTCAGAAGGCCGTAAAGTCTAACTACCTCATCGAAATATAATTTTGCAATGTGGGAGGCGTCAAAAGTTTTAGAGCAGGGAATGAAGTGTACATTTTTTAGAATTGCTCGACTATCACACATACAAAATCATGTTTTCTAACGGTCTTGGGCAGTCTGAGGGCGAAATCTATACTCACGTCTTGCTATGGGCAGTTGGGCACGGGGAGTGGTGTATAGAGGCCTGTGTTTTGCTTCCTTTGTTTGGCCAATTAACAAGTATGACACCACTTCACTAACCTACTAACATCAAGCTTAATATTAGGCCAGTAAAATCGATTTTCAACCGCAGCGATAGTTTTTGTTTGACCAAAATGTCCAGCTAATCCAGCAACATGTAATTCCCAAATAAGGTATTCATGAAGAGACGTGTTGGGGATGCAGAGCTTCTCGGATTTGAATAAATATCCATCGTCCAAGAATAAATAATGAATTATACATTCACTTCCAGCAGTTAGTAGCAAATAACTGTCCTTAAAGTCAGGGCAATCTTTGTAATCTTCTTTAATGCACTCAAATCCATTACTTCAGCCCTCATCTCACGAGTAACCATCATCTGATGGCTTAAAGCATCAGTTTCTTTATTCTCGGATCCTGCTTTATATTTGATCATGTAAGTATACTCTTGCAGGAATTCAACCTAACGACCATATCGGGCATTGAGTTTCTTTTGGGAATTAATGTATCGCAATCCTTCGTGATCCGAAAAGATAACAAATTCTTGAGGGAGTAGGCAATATCTCCAATACCTAAAGGATTGAATAATGGTATAAAACTCTTTGTCATAGGTGGAGTATCGTTGCCTGATGTTGTTCAATTTCTTGCTGAAGTAAGCGATTGGGTGTCCTTCTTGAGATAGGACTCCATCTATACAAATGCCTAAAGCATTGCATGTTACTTCAAAGACTTTAGAAAAGTTGGGTAGTCTCAAAACCGGGGCTTCTACCATTCGTCTCTGTATTTTTTCAAAGGCTTTAGTGGCGGTAGTGGTCCACTGAAATTCTCCCTTCTTTAGGCAATCTGTTATCGGGGCCACTATAGTGCTAAAATTTCTAATAACCTCTGATAGAATGTGGCCAATCCATAAAAACTGCTAACATGTTTGATATTCTTTGGTTCGGGCTACTCATTAATTGCTCACACTTTCTCAAGGTCAGCAGATATGCCTTGAGAGGATATAATAAATCCAATGAAAGTCACATTATTAGTGAGGAGCATACACTTCTTAGGATTAGCATATAATTGCTCTTTCCTCAAAAC